GCTCAGTGTTGCAGGCTTTGTTTCTTACATAGTCTATGTGTTTCCAATTGTGTATCTCGCAGCATTTCTTACAGAAGTAAAGGATGTGGTGGAAGCTCTGATATGTTGGTCCACTGTTGTCTGCACATCCCAGTCCACCATTTAGCCCCTCTCTGCTGCTATGTGTATTTTTATTACAAGAGTTTTTCAAGACAGTAAGGAAGAACTGCTTTTCAAGGTCTGCCCCCTGTGGTTCATCCTCCAGTGAGAGGGCACCATGGTGGTGTGCTAGTGTCTAAGGCTTGTTTCAGAAGTGTTCTTGCCATTTATTGGGATGTTGCATGGAACATTAAGATCACTTTGCCTGTTTAGCAAAGCTTTTATCTCTTGACCCTTAGTGCTTCTCAGAGTGTTCCAGGTACAGTTTTCGTGTGCTTCAGTCAGCATCATGAGGTGATCAAGCCTGTCTTTCCCACTCTCCCATCCATGGTCCTTCAGGGCAGACAGCTGAGAGTCAGGATAGTGATGGGCCAAGGATCCAGAAGCTCTGTAGCAAAGCTTTGCTCAGAAACAAGATGAAGAACATGGTGAGTATGGAGAGCAGTAAACCGAGGAAGTGATCATGGAAAGGTGGAGAAAATAGGTGAATAAGGGGCAGCTGCAAGCCCAAGGGGACCAGGCAGGAGAGTGCAGGGTTGTTCAAGGCTGGTGGATGTAGAGAGCAAGGGCTTAGTTTTACCAAGAAAAGCTGTGGGAGTTAGAGACAGAAGGTCTGGGGTCAGATGCACAGAGGCTGGATTAGTGGAGATCAGAAAAGATTGGCTCTGGATCATGGAAGGCGGTTTGAAGTAGTTGTCTGGGGTGCAGGTGATAGCTAAAAAGAACATTTATTTTTAAAGAGAAGAAATATTTCTTTTAGGTTTGAATTAACTAAGAAAGACAGATTTTTATTTGTCTAAAGATAGCCAGTTAGTCTTTATTGTCTTCTATAATCACACAAAGGGGAACACGGTAATTATCTAACGGGATGGAACAGTTTTTCTTCTAGATCAACTAATCTATAAGGAAATAAGTACTTAAGAATCCCAGCATTTAAGGTCAAAGGAACAGACAAGTTGTAAACCCTTAAAATCAGCATGTGAAGGCCTCACAGCATGTGAAAATGGGTATGGGCACCCCATCATTTGGGAGTTGAAGGCAAGAAGGTCAGAAACTGAAGATCATCCTCAGGTTTAAGGGTAATCTGGAAATACATGAGACCCTGTCCCCCCCAAAAAAGAAGGAAGGCAGGCCAGACAGGTAAGTAATTAAGTAAGGGAGGTACGCCTTTTCTGTATAACCAGTAATAGGAAAAGCAAAAACATTGCCCAGGGCAGGCCAGAGCCAAATCTTAATCCAAAGACAGCTGCTGCTTTCTCACCAGGGTTTCTACCATCTGCTGGTTAAGAGTCAGCTACCACACCCACCTTCATACCTCTCACTCCTGAATCAAAGCAGTCCTTTTGAAGATCACATGACCTCTTCTACTCTGACAGCCGGCCAAATACATTGTCCATCCTGTGGCTAGAACACCTTCTGTCCCACTCTGTCCTGGCGCTAGCTAAGCCCCCAGACAACCATCAGCTGCTCCCAGATGTATGCAGATTAGGTAATTGTAGTTTAGATTCTACTGTTTAGATGAGATCTAAAGGGACCTTTGCATGCACCACAGAGGTTAAGATTATTATTATTATTATTATTATTATTCTGGTCTGGAGAGATAACCTGACGCCCTGAGTTTGATCCCTGGAATTCACATGGTTGTAAGAGAGAACTGACTCCTTCAAGTTTTCCTCTGACTACCACATTGTGAGCATGTGTGTGCATACCCACAAATAATAATGTTTTTAAAAAGAAACAGCAATGGCAGCAGCTTTGTTCTGTTCTATATTGTACTACAGCCCACCTTGGCGCAGTTAAAAGCTGCTAAGCAGTAGCTACAGGTGACCCTCAGTAAGGGCTGAGCCCTCAGAAGGCCCTCATCCTTCTCTGGAGCACTCGCTTATGTCCATATAAGTAGTAAGTTGCAGACATTACACCTTGTATTCTATAAATGTAAGTCTCCCTATGGATTGATAGCTTTCCAGCCTATAAAGCCCCTAAAGAAAGGCACTCAGGAGTACGAATGTCCTATCTGAAAGTTTTAGACTAGGCTGATAAAGCAAGACTTCAAGATCTTGATTCTGGTCTTCAAAGAAGTGTGTTATAAGGCCATCAGGTGGTAACTGTGGTATAGTATGTTACTGAATGAAATTGTCATTCCAGTAAAAAGTTTTCTAGACCATCTTTTTAAATCAAAACTGTATTTTCAAATAGTAACCAAAATATTAAATTATAATTTAACAAGCAAGGTTTATGATGACCCAATTTGGTATCTCTCAAATTGTCTTTTATCCCAAACTCACATTGCAACATTTCTTCCAAAACTGTTGATGCCCCTTTGTGTCAGCCCAGTACTCCACGACCCCCAAGCTGAGTTACAGCTTCTTCATGTTCTTGTGCAAGGGTGCCAGAGCTTGGGCATGACCTTTGTCCTTCAAAGTCTTTTCTACAGACTTCCCATAGGAACAAGTTCCTGTTCCAAGAATACAGACCCTTCTGTAGTGGCTGACTCCATCAGGAGGATGTGACTTTCTGTTCTCATGTCATTGTCCCCCATCCTCAGCCCTTTAACATGTCAGCCGAGAATCGCCAACTGATGATCTCATTCTTAGGTAACAGCTCAACACCTTAAAACAGTCCTAACTGCCCTGTGACTTTTACTGTTATTCAACCTAGGTTGAGTTCCATAAAACTGTGACTTAATATCTGTGTCCCATTTTTCTAAATGAGCTATTCTTCTAAAATATAGCTTGTTTATAAAGTCTGGTTATCTTTACTCTTAATACATTTTTCTAGATTTCTTCAAGTCTTTTTTGGAATTCACAGGCAAGTTGGGCACAGTAGTTTACATCTATAGTCCCAGCTACTCTTCCATCACTTGTGATCTTGGGACCATCCTGGGCAACACAGCAGACCCCTCTGTTGGATCTGTGGCACAGCACAAAAACAAGTCTGAGCATCTGTATCCCTCTCACTTACACTACACAAGTGTTATTACCACATGAGATTAGGTACAGGAGAGTTTCTGTAGGTTATATTTTAATATGCCCCACTATTTATCTCTTGTCATTGAAAATCCCCTAAAACAGAAAAAAATTAAAATTCTGATTCTTTCCATTTTGACCTGGCAGTTCTTCAGTGTGTAATTTATGACATAATTCTCTGTTGTTTTCTAGGCATGTTTTCCACAAATCATGTGTGGACCCCTGGCTTAGTGAACACTGTACCTGTCCTATGTGCAAACTTAATATTTTGAAAGCCCTAGGAATTGTGGTATGTTCCCTGTTTGTCACTACGTTCGTGTAATATCATATCACATGCAGTGTAATACAACTGGCATAATACAAGCCATGACCAAATCTCTTTAGAATAGTCTAGCTTTCTTTGCCATATCGACCTTGTTTATTCAACAGTGCCTTTCTTCCAGATGACTTCAGAGTTCTCAAGTACCTCAGGGAACATGAGAAGAGAATTAAATAATTATACTAGTCTACTTTAAAAATTGTGCTTCTGATTGAGGGGACACAAAAGAAATAGGGTATAGAAAACTGTGGTCTAAGTAATTTTCTTATATTTGGCATAATATGAGATGATGTCATATTCTGCCCTCTTAAGCATGCCTTTCATGTCTTTGATTGTTGGTAACTTGCAAGTGGTGAAAAATATGGTAATCTTGAGCAACTTGGCAGCTTTGTTAGCCAAGTATGCTGCACTGAGGGTGACAGGTGCCAGGGCAGTACAATGAAATGTTGGAGACTTCCCTGCGTTCCTTGCTTAAGAAAGGTATATAGAGTTGAAGAGATAGCTCAGTGTTAAAGGTTAAGGCTCACAACTAAAATATCAACAGAAGTACATATGCAGGGTATACTTTTAATAGAAAGAAAAAAAATTAAGTCACTATTGTAAACTGTTCTCTTATGGCCAAGTTATCCCTATGTAAGACTAGTTTGACAGAGACTATCTCACATGGCCAGCATGTAGGAATAGAAACTTGTCCTCTGTCCATTTTTAATGGAGCCTTCTGGAATAAAAGATAGCTGTCCTAATTTTTTGCATGTGATGTTACTGCAAGCATCAGCTCTTACACTGCACTATTAATTTTGTTTTTAGTAGAACTTTGGGAGGGTCTAAAACAGATTCTTTTGCCCTAGAAACAGTAGGCTCTGGGTCTTGGCTGTTCCTTTTGTCAACAATTTTTCTGAGCTCATTTTCAATGTGCTGTCTCCTGCAGACAGAAGGAGCTGCCTCTTACTCTGCTGGGTAGACTTCAGCTGTAGTTGGAGGCTTAGGCTTTGAAGCAAATTATTTTCTTATGGTTTACAAGCCTGAGCTTTGATCTGCTCTTGCTTGTGTGCTTTGTTTTTAAACATAGACATTTTGTTTTGTTAACTAGATACCAAGTAAATGGAGCATTTCAGAGAAGTTACAGTATAAACAAGGTATTTTGTTACCTTTAACAATAGCATTTAACATGAAGATAATGAAGTAAATTTTCAATCTGAAAGTGTCAGCTTGATAAATGATACTAGTCTCCCTCTGCCTGTGACTGAGACCACAAATGGTTATCATTTCTTTGCCAAGCTACAGTGAATAGTTTGAGCTGTGGATTTTGGTTTTCTTTTGTAACATTTTTGGGAGGAAAATCAGCTGATTCTTTGAAGAAAGAATTAAGTGACAGTAGGAAAGGTATAGATGGGCAGGAATAGAAGATTAATTACATGGAAAAGCATAGAGAAGTTCTTGGAGTGGGTGTTAAACATTCAGGATTTTATAAACTTGTTCTTATAATGATTTTTTAATCTGGAAATATTTTGCAGCCAAATCTGCCGTGTACTGATAATGTAGCATTTGATATGGAAAGGCTTACCAGAACCCAAGCAGTTAACCGAAGATCAGCCCTCGGTGACCTTGCCAGCGACAGTTCCCTTGGCCTTGAGCCACTGCGAACTTCAGGCATATCTCCTCTTCCTCAAGATGGGGAGCTCACTCCTCGAACGGGTGAAATCAACATAGCAGTAACAAGTAAGTGGGGACCCTTTGCCCAAGCACCAGACAGTATTGCTGCCTGTGTTGGGCATGAGGTGGCTGTCAAGGAGAAAGTTGAGGCCACGTGGTCCAGCAGTTTTATAATGGAAAAGATAATGTATATTTCATCCACTTTATTTATAATAATGAATGTGCATGCTGGTGATTTTGTGGTTAGTTATTTAAAGGTTTGTCTTAATGGCTGTTCAGTAAACCTTGTTTTGAAATCATTGCATTGCAAAAAGACATTTTAAAGGGAGACACTGGAGTACAATGTGGGCTAGCAGGCAGCAGTGCTGGTATGTTGTATGCTGAGCACTGCTGCCCATGATCTCCTGGACTATAAACAACTTGGTGAAAAACTAATGTAGAATTGAACCTAAAAACTATTCTGGGCTAGTTATGAAATGTCTTGATTGTTGAACTGTTAATAAGCAAAAATGTGCTGTTGCGAGCGAGAGCAGTGCCCGTCTGTATACAGTGTGAGTGGGTTGGTGGTGTGTGTATGGATGTTGTAGACAAGGCATTCATCCTATAACAAGCAAATTCTTTTCTCCGTTTTCATTCTTTACATGCAGTTTCCATCTAACAACCTCTCACCCATCTCTCGTCGCCACTCTGGTGCTGCCTTTTCTAATTATGCTGCTGCTTACCCAGGACTTCAAGCCTAGAGTTGATGAGGTTCCACTTACCTCTGGGAGCCAGTAACAAACATGGGGGACGTAGTTTATGGAATAGCTTGCTCTTCACATGTTAAGGCTTCTGTGGTCTGTTTTGTTGAAATGCATGGTTTTGAACCATCCAGAGGTTGCCATTTGTCTGAAGGCTAAGAGCTTTCATTCTGTCATAAGTAAAACTATTCTTTGATATAGTGTGGCTCATTTCTTAACATTTCCCAGTGCTTGGCTTAGCAGCATTTCATGGTGTTCCAACTTTGGCATTTAGGTTTTATGGTCTAGAGTTTCAAAACTTGGTCTAGCAGTTCGAAAGGAGATAGAAGTGATTTAAAATTGCGTTTTTATAAGTCCTTCATTAATCAGGCATTTATTGAGCACCTACTACATTAAGCACATATCTTGTCAGTTTTATGTGGAAATGTCTTCAAAATCTTGATAATAAAATCTTTTGATGATAAAAATAATTCATATATCAAATAAAACATAAGAACTTACACATAATGTCATTAAAGAAAACTCATGTGATTATCTAGACCCTAAGTACCTCATTTCCTTCCAAATCCCTGTATTACCATAAGCAAGTACAGTACCTTCAGTCAGCACCCATTGTGCGGGAGGGCAGAAGGGTGGTTCAGCTGCCGAAGATTGCTGCTGAGTACTCTTGGATCTGCCAGGTGCTGCTGTGATGGTGTTTCTCACATACAAAGACACAAATAAGTACATGTATTCATAATTCAGGAATATAGACGTGACTGAAGTTCCAAATGTTAGTCTGTGAACAAAGGTTTATGAGAAGGTGGGCTTGGTGGCAGCTCAGTGCTGGGGCACAGTGGCACATGCCTATAATCCCAGCATTCCCAACACTTAGGAGGTAGAAGCAAAAAATTTAGAAGTTCAAGACCAATCTCATCAATCGATAAAAAGAAAAGAAGAAAAATGAATGTTACTCTCCTTGCTGTTGATAATGTTCATCTCTTGAATTTTAAAAATACCAGTATACACTCTTCCCAACTAAAAACATGCATAGGCTACCACAATGGATTTCACATGGATTCTTGAGTGTCCATTTTGACTTCAATAAAAAGCTCAAATCTAATGAGGAGGAAATCTGTAATGTAAGACTTAGCAGTGGCTGCAGTGTTGTGAAAAGAGTTCGTTAAGCATTTTAATCATAAACCAACCAGGACAGTGAAGATTTAGCTTATAGAACAAACTCAGCATCCTGGGAGCCCAGAGAGCAAGTTCTTTTAGCCTTTTCTAGAAAAAAAGCCTGTGCACACACAGTTTAGAAAGTTTTAGGATTCATGAAACCCAAACTAAGAGGTAGTCTGGAAGCACATGATACTCTTTCCAAGGACCCAGGTTCAGTTCCCAGCACCCACATGGGGTGCCTCTCCAGCTCCAGGAGGTCCCAACCTTCTGGCCTCCATGGGCACATGTGCTCATATATACATACATGTGCACCCGTACACACATACACATAGTTAAAGATAAAAAAATTTTAAAGAAATAACTATGCCACATATATGAACATATGAAAGATATTATTTTGTACACTTACTAAAAAAAATGTTAAAATGAGGGGCTGATGAGGTGGCTCAGAGGTTAAGAGCACTGGCTGCTCTTCAGAGGTCCTGAGTTCAATTCCTGGCAACAACATGGTGGCTCACAGCCATCTGTAATGAGATCTGGTGCCCTCTTCTGAAATGCTGGCATTCATGTAGCCAGAACACTGTATACATAATAAAGTCTTTTAAAAAAAAATGTTAAAATGAAGAAAAGTTCCTGTTAGGAACAGTTTTGCATGTGAACATTTGCCATGCCTTGTTACGGATGTAGAGAAATTTTATAGATTTACTTTGTCAAACTATCCCAATTTAGTTTACCCTTGGCAATATTTTATAGTTACGACTTTGGAGCAAGTCAGATTAGTTCTCAGACCCCAGTTTAGTTTCATGCTATCACCATGTATGCATGACTTTGATTTTGACTTCTGCATACCTTGTCAGTCACAGCCCCTCCTACTTTTCTACAAAGACAGAAGGACCAGTTTTACTTCCTAGCAGGAGTCATGAGCCTATTTTCTTGGCACAACTGTGATGTGTCTTTTTAGTATGAATACTCTAAGTTAACTGATAGATAAGAGAAAATGCAAGAATGAGTAACTCAGAGGAGCAGCTTTCTGCTTAGCATACCCATAAGACATTTGAGTACCCCACGCCCTGTTCCTACCCCTTAGTTAAGATTGAGTATTAGAATCATGCAGAAATGGCAAAAGGGAAATTTGAAAAATGATTATAAGTATGGTTGTTCTACAGTCATTTAAATTCACAGTAATATCTATGTCCATGTACAGTTCTCCTACATCATTTTCCTATGCCTTTTTGTGGTCACACTCCTCATGTACTTCTGGATCTAAACTGAAAGAAATGGTTGAGCCATGCTTTCCTTTCTCCTTGCAGCTTTTCCCAGTACTTCCACTAACCTTCTCTAGTTAGTAGCTTTCTGGCAAACTTCCGCCTGCTTGACTTCCTTGAGCCAGCCTTGGCTTACACCTCCGTTGACGTCTGCTTCGTTGCATTTGAGGGAAGTGTTGACATCGATTTGACTTAAATCTTCTCCCCAGAGTGATTTCCTCCCTTTCCTTTGTCAACAGAAGAATGGTTTATTATTGCCAGTTTTGGCCTCCTCAGTGCTCTCACACTCTGCTACATGATCATCAGAGCCACAGCTAGCTTGAATGCTAATGAGTAAGTAACAATTGTTTTTTGGATTGCATGTGCCAGATGATCCCCAAGAAAACATGTAACTTTAATGACGGTGGTGAGACTTTGCTTCCCACCTGTTTCATGCTGATCCCAATGGGATCATAGTTAGCCAATTAATTTATTTCATGAGCCATCTATTTTTAGTCACACAGAATGGGAGTTCATTTTGTTCAGTAAGACCAGCATACAGGAGCAAAGCTCTGAAGGCTCACTTTAGTACAAGCTGGATCCACATTGTCATGCATATGCCAGGACACCAGAACAGTCTTAGTACGTGAAGAATGTCCATGACCTGACCATTGATAGGAATAGCCCCACACTGTGTGTGCTCATAGGACTTCACCAAGAGCTGTAGTCGACTTTGGGAGAACACCAAGACCTTTCTTTGCTATGGTCAAGGACAGGAAAGAAGTGGGGAGGAAATCTATCTACTGCTCTCAGAAGACTGTTGGGAGGTAGAATTGATGGAATAGACTGTCTCTCCAAGGGCAGAAAGAGGCCAGTATAGGTTATAAAAAGGTGAAGTTGGCCCCCATAAGGAAGAATACCAGTCAGACTTCCTAATGGTGAGATGGACTTGCCACAAGGAATTAACAGAGCTAGGAATGCCGGCAGAAGTTGTGTGTCACTATGAGGGCTACTGTAGGGTAGACATCTTGGTCCTTGGGATGCAGTGATTTTCCAGAAGCAGCATTCCACAGTGATATGATAATGGAAGGGTTTTGTACTCTTTTGTTTTAAATATTATTTGCTATTCAGTCCTTTTTTTTTTTACCTGAGTATTCATACTACTTAGAGATGGACACAACCTGGGCTCGTGCCCAAATTTGAGCCTACATTGAACATCATGTTCACTCCATATTGGAGTATGGCCTAGCATTTTAAGTTGCCAACAGTAAACAATATCCTTGAATAATTAACATTGTTCAGCTATGGAAACAAAAAAACTTTTACTTCCTCTGACATATTATCTCTCACCTGATCTGTTGACAAATACTTGCAGGAAATATCTTCTGGCATCCATGACCCTGTACATCTTGAAAGGCTACTGTGGTACATTGGCGCTCTTCACCCTTTATATGAATAGTCTTTACCTGTCCATTAGGTCAGTCAGCAGCTAGCTACTTCTGTACAGAACACAGTATCAGTTTCTCAGATTCTAGAGTCCATCACACCTAGATTTGACTCTCACTCAACTCCTCCATTTTCCAGTTGTGAGACTTGGGCATTTAAATTTATCTGAACATTATTTTAATCATCAAAATAAGCAGATAAAAATTAATCCACATCATAGGGCTATGGACTTAGCACAGTGCCTTCTACGTAATAAGTGCTCAATAAATGTTAGCCAAACTAATTCTGCCAAGATTCTGCTACAGTTCTGTGAATAAGAGGGCCATCTGGGGCCAGGAGGGTGGCTCAGCAGGGAAGACACTTGCTGCCAAACCTGATGACCTGAGTTCAATCCAACTTCCACAAGTTGTCCTCTGACCTACACACATACACACCATGACACATGTACGTATGCACATAGGCAAAGAAATAAATTATC